AACTGCATACAGAAACTTTGGTAGACAAATGGTGCTAAGAAGAAGAGAACATGGGAAGTCCTCTGTCTGGCCAAGACCTGGGATAGAGAAGCCAAATATGCAGAAAACAGTGCAAACTTGATAGCTTTAAGACTTGTGGATTTCAACTCCCAGGATTTCTCCTCTCGCTCTTCATCTTGATGATGTGGGGATGGGCGGGGGGAGGGAGCTGGAACTGGTTCTAAACGGCACAGTAGATTTGTGGAATCTCTTCTCTAGAAGAGGTTAGAACTGGCAGGAACCCACCCCTGCATGAACTGCATACAGAAACTTTGGTAGACAAATGGTGCTAAGAAGAAGAGAACATGGGAAGTCCTCTGTCTGGCCAAGACCTGGGATAGAGAAGCCAAATATGCAGAAAACAGTGGGCACGCTTGAGTCAGGATAGCTACATGTCAGGTGGTGTATTGCTTTACAGGACTTTGATCCTCCAAGGTGGCATCTGAAGCATCAGCATTTTATGGTAGAGCTCAACAAAAGATGGAATATTTCACAGGATGCACAAATATACGGAAAGGAGCAGTCTTTGTCCCCTTGAGAAAATATAGCATGTGCCGGGAAAATGGATATTCAGTTTACACTTAAACATTTCTCCAGAAGATATTTTTACTAAACACTTCTAACTAGGAAATAGCTCATGTTTAGACTTAGAGTTCTACTTTTTGACTCATCTACTTTCCAGAAATTTTGATCTCTACAACTGCCTCTCAGAAGACGAGAGTATGTGAAACAAAACAAATGTTACCAAGAATTCATACTGTGCAGCCCCACATTTTGCCTTTTGACTCCTGTGCAAATGTTAATCTCACCCAATTTCAGTGACATTGCATTCAAGGAAAACCTTGAACATTTGCCCAAAACAAGTCAAGCAGACACAGTTTGAGCTCAGAAATGTTGATCTTGCATAAGCTTCCTTTCCTCCTTTTCACTGAAAACAGCTTTTTGGCCTTGTGGCTCATTTGCCACTGCCGTGCCTGAAGAAAGGAGGTGCTTTCCTCTGGCTGTCTCTTAAAGCAAACGACAGGATAACATCCTTTCCACTTTCTTCAACTTTATACATTAATCAGGTCTAACATGAAACAGAGAAAACATACTCATTGAAGACCAAATCTGGAGCGAAATAAAGCATCCGAGAATTCACATTGGTGAAGGACCTCCATCCCATGGCAAAAATCATCAAGCCCATCCAGGAGTACTGAATGATGGCCATCTGGTCATCTACATGCAGGTTGCGGAACCCTGGGAAGAAAAGTCAGAAAAGTTGAGTCAGATGGAGGCAAAGCTCTTCCTTCAGGTCAACGAGCAGTTGGGTTGTTAGCTTGGGCTCCAGGCTGCGAGGCCAACTCCTTAGAGCAATGATGCCCAATGTGGGGGCCCGCCCAACAGGGGGACAATTTGATTTTTAATGGGGGCAATTTGAACCTTGTTTAAACCAAGTTAATGGCCCTTTAGGCTTCCTCCACATGAGCAGCGTTCACTTTTTAAGTAAAATATTAATTATATAATATATAAGAATTATAAAAGGGACGTAGTGCTCAGTGGCCAAGATTTAGAACTTGTCGATCAGAAAGGTCAGCAGTTCAGCGGTTCGAATCCCTAGCGCCACGTAACGGAGTGAGCTCCTGTTACTTGCCCCAGCTTCTGCCAACCTAGCAGTTCAAAAGCATGTAAAAATGCAAATAGAAAAATAGGAACCACCTTTGGTAGGGGAAAGTAACAGCATTCTGTGCACCTTTGGCATTTAGTCATGCCAGCCACATGATCACAGAGATGTCTTCGGACAGCACTGACTCTTCGGCTTTGAAATGGAGATGAACAACACCCCCTAGAGTCAGGAACAACTAGCATGCATGTGCAGGGGAATCTTTGCCTTAAGAATTATATGTCATTGGGGGGGGGCATCAGGATTTTAGAAGCCCCCCCAACGATGCAACAGAAGCCCTCCTCTAAACTGTTGCACCCTGTGACATTTTAAATCTGGCAGCTAGAAGTGAGGGAAGGTAAAGTCATACACAAAACATTTTCTTACAGAAGGTTTGTCTGTTGTTATAACAGAACAAGCTATTTTTCTCTTTATACTCCAGGGATCACAAAAAAGGACTTCTAATTAGGGATGAAATTAGAAAGAAAATAAAGGCTCACACCATGAACTATTTGGATTCCGAGTTGCATGCAGTCTGGACTGTATAACTCCATGTGAGGAGAGGGGCATTAAGTCAAAGATCTGCCAAGATGCCTTGCTAAAACCCAGAATATTCTCAAGCAGAATTATCAGGAAGTTCATGTAATTTGATGCCACGTAGTATAGGTCACACTTCAGCCCCCCAAACAGATTGTATTTTAAAATTACATTTTAACCTCACTGGTGTTTTCCTCTTCACTCTAGAAGCATCTCTTAAGCCTTTGCAATTATTAAAATATACTGTGTTGCCTAAGGTATTTAATCCATAATTATATTTGCTGCACTTAAAACTTCGCATCAGTTAGATATTCAGACTTTTCAACACTTTTGTTGCTCATTGCTAACATGAGTGCATGTTTCATTCACTTTCTTGGCATTTAGAAGGTGGCGAAAGTGCTGAAATGAATGATCGCAGAGAAAGAGAAAATTTGAACATTACAAAGCTGGAAACTATTTACGTCTTATTCTTCCTTTCTACATCTTTCCAAGGTGATTTACAATATACACTGGGTGCACAATTATTAGGCAAGTGAGTATTTTGACCATATCATCATATTCCAGGACTGCAACCTACCTGGAGTGCCCAGAAGTACAAGGTGTTCAGTGCTCAGAGACATGGCCAAGATAAAGAAGGCTGAAACCTGACTACCACTGAACAAGACACATAAATTGAAATACAGTAGCAAGACTGGCCAAGATGCATCTGAAGACAGATTTTCCCCCAAAAGTTTTATGAACTGATGAGATGAGAATGACTCTTGAAGGATCAGATTTGAAGGCTTTGATTTCTCTGCCCTGACTAGACCTTTGCAATTCTTCCAATTCTGCTCCTATGAATATTTTATTTCGTATTATAAATAGACATTGATCTGCCAGCCCCTGTTCTGTTATTTCTGATTCTGGATGATGTTCTTTCTAGAACTGGTGTATTGATTTCAAATATCCTCTTCTTGTTGGACTTGATCTGTAATAACAGATCGTTATTTCTTTGATTTCACTGTATATTTGTGACAGGCAAAACACCTTTCCTTCCAGGAGTTCTCCAGCTGCTGGCCCTGAGTGTTACTCACCCAACACGCCTGAGGCCTGTAGCCCATTTTGGACCACACGTCCAGGAACTCCAACATCTAGCATGGACCTTGTTAACCTGGTTGACATCCGAGCCGGTATGGCTTTCTGAAATTAATGTCTCATCATAATTTTTATAGTAGAGACACTCTTTGTCTGGCTCCTCTGATGAGACCTGGCAGTATGGTTGAACCTCTGGCATAGCTACCATGTCAAGGTAGCACCTCATTGGTTATTGTTGTTATTTTGGGCAATCCAAAATATAGTTTTCCTTTTACTGATTACTGGAACATTATTTATTATTAACACCACCAATATTAAATTGAGTTTGCTCAGATGCTGAAATACACCACATAAAGCTAAGTGGAGAGAGCGGAAGGGAAGAGGGGAGAGGAAAGGAGGGGAAGAGAGGGGACAGGAGAGAGGGAAACAGAGGTGAGGAAAAGAGTAGGAGTGATAGAAGGAGTGGAAAGAGGCGAGAGGGGAAGGAGAGAGGAAGGGGAAGTAGAAAAGATGAGGGATGGTAGAGAGAAGGAAGAAGGTAGGGAGGAGGAGAGGGGGAGAGGAAGTAGTGCTGCTGTGGAATAGGGCATAATATGGTGTATGGAAAGCAGAAGAGCAAATGAGAGTTGTTGTGGGTAGACAGTGAGAGGAATTGATATAATACTTGATAATACATAATAGTGTTTTTTAAGATGTAATGGTATACTTGTGGATACTTATATGAAAATAAAAATAATTTTTTAAAAAAAATAGATTTCCTTGGTGACAGATGCTCCACTACCATCACATAGCTTATTGTCTTATGCTTTGTTGGTTTGTTATTTTCTAAAACAGGAAAGGTATCGACTTCTCCCTGTGAACCAACAACCATAAATTTCAATGCAGAAAATTGTGTGATGTGGACGTTCTGAATTTTGCGATAGAGAATTATCAAGAGTTTTAGGTCCTCGGAGATCAATTAAGAAGATTCTTTTCTAGAATCTTTTCTTGGCATTATTTCTTCAGCATCCATTTCTATTCTTGGAAAACAGGCTTTTGACAGCATAGAGTAGCTAACATTAACATAGAATTTAGATCGTTCAAACCATTCATAATCTGTGATCTGTACACAAATAAGAGCTTGTGATGTTCTTTAACATCATCTAAGTAAGTTCCAAACAGAGGCAAGAATTGCAGGATCTTAAGGTTTCTCTCTTACAGATTACATTACAACGTATTTGGAGACGGAATTCATGCTATCTGTGGTAAATAAAAGCCAACAAGTTTAACATCTTCAAAAACTACTAGCATTACAGTTTCAGCTCTGAAGTTACCAATCATAAATAACAAGCATGAAAGTTAAGCAGACTTAAGAGCTTGTGGTTTGCGTAAAGCTGAAATTACAATTTTGGATATCACTGAATTTGCAGGAAGCCTGCCTAATAGCTATCAGCTAAATGGCATCTTGAGATACCTATCACACTAATGCTGCATCAGTGGAAAGCACCCTTAATAAGTCCTTGGCATCAAGCACATTTTACCTGCTTTTCCACTGGTATCTCAGTTCATAATTTCCTACTTCACTTGAATTCTATTAATACTAATTATAAAAAAACCTTTGCTAATATTTTTAGAAAGGTCAGCCTCTTGCCCCCAATAATCTGGCTCATCATTTTACCGGCCTCGGAAGGACGGATGGCTGAGTCAACCTTGAACTGCTGAGAATTGCACTACTGGCAGTTGATAGAGTCAGCCTACACTGCATTCTAACCACTGTGCCACCATGGCTCTTTTTCTAAATAGCTGTTAAACAATGTTCACACGATAGCAGCCTTGCAATATTTGAGAGGCTGCCACAGAGAGGAGGGAGGTCAAGCTATTTTCCAAGGCATCTGAAGGCCAGATAATGGATGGAAACTGAACAAGGAGAGATTAAACCTGGAAATAAGGAGAAATTTTCTAACAGTGAGAACAATCAACCAATGGAACAGCTTGCCCTCAGAAGTTGTGGGAGCTTCATCACTTGAGACTTTCAAGAAGAGATTGGACTGCCATCTGTCAAAAATGGTGTAAGGTCTCTTGCTTGAGTGGTGGGTTGTTCTAGATGACCTATAAGATCCCTTCCAACTCTGTTAATCTGTTTGTAACTGATATTCTTCACTCTGGGCAGAACCAGGAATGGCTAGTCTGGAGAAGAGAAGGACCAGGGGAGACATGAGAGCAGTCTTTCAATAGTTGAGGGGCTTCCCCAGAGAGGAAGAGATTAAGCTATTTTCCAAAGAACCTGAAGGTCAGACAAAGAACAATGGATGGAAACTGACCAAGGAGAGATTCAACTTAGAAACAAGGAGGAACTTTCTGACAGTGAGAACATTCAACCCATGGAACAGGAGTTGACCTCAGAAGTTGTGGGAGCTTCATCACTTGAGAATTTCAAGAAGAGATTGGACTGCGATTTGTCAGAAATGGTGTAGGGTCTCCTGCTTGAGTGGTGGGTTGGACTAGATGACCTATAAGGTGCCTTCCAACTCTGCTAATCTGTTAGTCCATCAACTGCCTCCAATGTGCATTGGAGCCCCAAGCCAAGAGGCAGAGCCACATCTGGTTGGCTGTGTACCGGTTTCCATTTCAGGTGGAGAGAGAAGAGCTCTTCAGGCATGTACATTTAAGTTTTAATATAATATTCCAAACCTTACATAAAAAAGAAGAAAATGCACTATTAATTTCAATTCTGTTCTCTAGCCAACAGACAAGCTGTTATCTCTCACATGGGATGAAGTCACATCTGAATTTTAAAAGCTGGAACCTGCATTTCCTGAGGCTGAAACCAAGTCACCCTCCATCTGTCTCAAGGCACAACACCATCATTGACTTCAGGCCTTGACTCTCATCTTTCTCCAGGAAGAAGAGTTTATGGTCTGGGTAGTTTTCTGGGAGGGTTTGGAAATTGGGAACTGGATGTCTCTGCAAGCGCTTTGCTTGCAAAACATGTCTCCCGTGGGATTCGCCCAAGGTTGAATGCAAAATATTCCATTTAGGAGGTGCAAAGGTTGCACTTCAGATAGAATACAGACATGTGGGAGGAGAAAAGGAGAAATGAATATGAATGTAAGAATTGGAATGGGTCTTTAGACACAGAGTCCAAAATCATGCCCAGTGCAAATGGTCATCCAGCCTTGTTTTTAAAGATATCCCAAGAAAG